AATATATATATATATATATATATTTATGTTCTCTTATCAATACTTAAACATAATTTCAAAAACAAAAGACATTCAGTATTTTTTTAATTTTTAATTTTACCATTAATATAAATCACAAATTGCTTGTTGACTAAAACTAAACACAAACAGGACTACAGCTATAGCTTCCTAGAAGCTAACAGAAAGAATAAATAGTACAAAACATTCAAAACACTGTAAACATAACGGTGTAAATCAAAGGAAGAATCCGTCCTGCATTATCTATCAAAAGTACATCAACAAAACAAACATGTTGGCTTAATGAAAAAATGCTGCTGCTGCTGCTTTCTGTAGTTGATTCCTAGAACCTTATTTATCATATTTTCACTTAAGGTAAAAAAATATATCTTGCTACGATCACAAGTATTATCAAGTACAGCAGGAGATAGCAATTTTCTTTAGTTTGACACTATATATTAGCTTAAGACTTACAGAATGTTATGTTGAATAAGTGGAATGGGTGTTGACATTAGGTAACTATTGAAGCTGTTAGATTTAGGATTCTCCCTTTAACTGACCATTTTCCACTTAGTGTGCAACAGATTTAGTTACCTTCAACATCTTACTACTGGGTTACTTGGTGATACCATGTAAAATGTGAAGATTTTTGTCAGTAAGACAATGTGCATACAACCAACCTCTCTAGGATCTTTAAAATGCAGCATATATAATATACCGTTTATCCCAAAGGAACAGGTTAAAAGTTAACCTGTATTCTGAAACAACTCTGTCCTAAAAATACACGTGACAATTTACTTACTTACAATATTAAATATTTACTACAAGGTCATTTCTTTGTTAGTTCTGAAATGTGGTGAGACAGTCCTAAACCCAACCACATATCAACCCAGGGGGCAAAGTTACAGTTAGACTGTCATAAATACATAAATGTTGCAAAATATAACAAATACATTTAGGATATTGCCAGCCAATGGGCAGAATTGGCTTTTAAACCGGATATACAGTCATTACACCCACTTCTGATCTGGCAATCATATCAGGATTGTGATTTATACTCCTTGTCTACACTGGCTGCACAGAGAGGGGCATGTCAGCAGTAGCGTCAATCCTTCGTTAGTATCTGCACTCGTTGCACAGTCCTGCTAGGAGTTCATCAGCAGGACTGTCTCTGAACAGAGTGAGAACTAGTGGGGAAAATAAAAATATACCTAAAATGTGCCTTTAAATAGTAACGTAATAGTAGTAATTTAAGTCTAATTCACCTCTTAGCTATAATAAGTGATGGGTGTGGTCATAAGTGTGCACACCCAACACCTTTGTCAGAAGGTCCAAGAGTATGCCTATAGACTGCAGGAAGCCGAGAAGTTAAACCACTGGAGGTAAGAAAAAAAACAGGATTTTCAAAGGGTATTAGTTATTTTTTAAAGTAGTAGTAGTGTTTTTTTCATTGGCCTGGATTTCACTGAAATCTTGGTATTTACACCCAGTTACCGGTGTATTAAGAACACCTGGTAGGGTTTTTCCATCATAGAAACCTACCAAAACGTGATGAGTTGTGTCACGCTCGGCCCGGGTTCTGCACTTGTTTCCACTGCCCTCCGCCCACTTTGGAGGTGCATTTCAGGAGCTAAATTTTGGCACTCCTAAGGATGTAGATCCAGGATCATGAGGGGGGGGAGGCGGTGGGAGCACACAGAACTGTGATTGGTTAAATATCAGCATCTTCACATCTTAAAGAGCTATTAGCATTACAAGCACTGTGCGTAAACACACATTCCCTGGTTTAGAGGTAAAATGATCGAGAACTATTGGTTTACAGGTAAAAGGGGACTTCAGGGTGTGGACTGCGGGAAAAGCGGTGAAGACGTTTGTGCTCTGCTTGTTCAAAAGCTGTTTGTAATATTGCTCATACAGTCTCATTAGCAGCAGAGTTTGTTGCACTAAGGAGCACTGTGATGCTCAGCTGTGTGTGTGTGTGTGTGTGTGTGTGAGGACCGCAGTCCAGCCCTTGTTTAAACAAAGAGACACGGGGGAAAACAGTGGAAAAGCAAAGCAGAATGGTCTGCATCAGTTCGTGAGGTTATATCAGGTGACAGTTAAGAGGAGCACGAGATGTACTGCTCGTTAGGTTCTAACTGTGGAAATGCAGCTCAACTGTCATATGCAAAAAAAAAAAAAAATCATCCTTTCATGAAGTTGATAATGTTCCATTTTTGTTGAAACTGTTTTAGAGAGGTGTTGATTCAACTGCATGGTCATTTTGGAAGAGTTTGGCATTGCTGAACTGTATTGCATTACACAGATAGGTGTTTCTATTACTATGTTCACCCCATTTATATCACTACAGCTACACAACAGAAACACTCTCTGTCTAATGCAACTTGGAAAGACAAATATTTTGGGGAAACTGAATACTTACATGCTGGAGCATGATATAAGCGTCAGCACAAAATATTGCCAACTTCAATACAAAAACAAATATCAGCTGAGTTAGATTAAAATTGGAACATCCATCTTTTGCTTTTTGGTCCAATCAGCCATGTTCGTCTCCCTTCTGCTTCACCACCATGTGATCTTAAACTCATAGATGGGCCTCTTGCAGTAGTAATGGTTAATAAGGTGCTTGTCACAGACACCGATGCACTGCTGCTCGGCAGTGATGCCGCGCTCAGCCAGGTCACTGACGATGCAGTGCAGCAGGTCATAAACGTCTGCCACTGCCTCCCAAGGTCCAAAGGAAACATCCACCTCGCAGTGATGCTCAAAGAGCTTGGTCTCACTGTCTGAGCGTTCAAAGCGCAGAGAGTTAAAAAGAGGACGCTCATATGGTGTGATAGGCATCTCCTCCTTGTAGACACAGATCTTCAACTTAGCAAACCGTGCCTTTTTATGCATGGCTCTCAGTTTGGCAATCTCCACAATACGCTCCAGATTGTCTGAAAGGCAAAGTTTAATTTGTTAATGCTGTTCTGATTCTGTTCCAAAAAAAGCATGTTGATCAGTAAAGTATGTTTTTCATTACAACCAAGCAGCATCAAAGTCTGGCTTAAAGGATACTCTAGATTTTTCAAATCTACGTGAACTGCTAATATCTAATTCATCTTACTATTAATGGTCCCGATTTGCCAAAAATGCAAATGTAGACTAAAAAGGGGGCTAGAGATGTAAGCCACAGTGCATAGTGCACAATGTCAGACTTTGAAAACCCCTAAAATAGTGCATAGTTGTGCCATCGAATGAAGATTTGATGCTCACATCAGGTGTAGATTCAGTATTTTTTCAATGAACATTACATGCTCATTTCAATAAGTGAGGAGACAGGTAGACCTGTTACCTTTGTAGTAGGGCAGCAGATCGAGAAAAGCTTGTCGGACTTTCTCTCCTGTGAGTGGCTGAATGTCCTCCAGGCTGTCCAGCAGCGGGCCTATGGCATAGTACTGAGCCTCTCTGTGTACCGCTCTCACTCGGTCCCTGTGAGGAAGCTCGCCTTCTCGAAGGAAGTTCAGGATGTCCCTTTGGATGGAAACCATATGATGGGAACATAAAGCTATATTCCTACCTGACAAATCCTACCTTAAACAACCCTGCTTTGATGTAAGAGGGATGGTTCTCTTTTAAAATTAAAACCAGAAGATGGCAGTACATAATTAGTTGTGCATGATAAACAGAAATAAAAAAAAAACAAACAAACAAAGGCACACAAGAAAATAATTTAAATGTATTAGTACTATGGTCACAGATAATTCTCCATTCCGATTTGCTGTTGGGTACAAGTAAGGAAGTAGGTTGGCAACTGATGTTATCAGCACAGAATACACAATGAAATCTAGCTGGTGAATATCTCACATCAGTCTGATATGGCATAAATTATTCCTCATTCATATATATGGCATAATATA